AATGGATCTGATCACTTCATCATGTCTTCTTTTTGGTGACACAGAGGAAGTCAACTTCTTGCTGTAGAAAACATCATCACACATAGGGTTTGAATCGTGAATTACAAATAATGGCTTTGTATTAATAAAACCATCAAAATTTATGCAAATTAAATTGTCGTTTCAAAAGGATTCCTTCACGTAAAATAAAACTAAATATCATGCAATTGTTTTTTGTAATGTTCTATGGAGTTTAGAATCAATGCCCAAATAAGTCTACTTAAAAGGCCCAATGGATGTACTATATATATATATATATAAATTGCAGCTCTTTTTGGTTTGCATTAATATCCAAACAAAGTATCATAAGCTTTTAATTTCCATATTTTTGTCTTTCAATGTGTAAGAGGAGATTTAACTAACAGAGACAAACCGGTCTTCCTGTTGCGTTGGTTTTGATCTGCTTATCCTTCGGTTCACGCTCTTATGGGGTCGATTATGCATTGGTCCCATCTGACACCAAGTAAAACTCTTCTCTTGGTCCCGACAGCCGCCGTAATTTCCGAAACTTGGCGGATGAGTCTGTTCCTTTATCTTCTTGAGTATCATACAAACAGCAAACCCGACCCATTAAACAGCAAAAGGGATGCTTCGGTTGGTCCGTTTTGTACTATTGGTTCTTCGGCAAAGCTGGGCGATGGATGCAAACTATATCCTTCTAGCCACATCTTTGGGAACACAGAATTGGGGGATTCTTGCGTCCTTATGACGTAGGCCGGTTTTGCTCTTCTGACCGGTTGTATATGGTGTTATCAAACTGAAGAAATCGAGATTCAGAAATGAAGAACAAAGACGAACATTGAGAATTGAGAGAGAGTTGTGGGAATTTTCTCATATTCATCCTTAACGGAAAAAATGAAACAGAACAAAGTTCATATACAAACCAAAACAAAAAGCGGGAAAACGAAAAAGATTAAAAAATATAAACCGAAAATCACTAAACCAGTCGCTAAACCAGCTAAACCAGAAATTGAGAAAATACTCTCTAATAGGTGTTTCCTCTCAATTTTTTAACGTTGTTCTGGTGTGTGTGTGTATATGCCTTGATTTTTGTCAGCCAGTGGTGCTGTTGTTGATGATGATGATCTCCCCGAGTTATAAGGTATATCAACGTTATTGGTCGCCATGCTGTGGTTGGTCTTAAATGCCAAGACATGAAATACAAGGTGATCAGAAAATGACAACTTGTCATATTCCGTGTTTACGGGTACTCTGCTTAAGAGTTGAGACCAATTCAAAAGCCTGTGTACTGATCTGGAGTCTGCACGTTTTGTTTTACTTTTCAGGCCGGGGATAATTGCTTTCTTCACATTGGTAATAACAATGAGATCAGAGAGTTCTGTTCGATTCACAGATTATCAAAGTCCACCGATGCTGGTTATTGACCGATATGAGCAAAATATCTAGTCTTTATGAAGTGTGTTCTTACAGTCTCTTTGTGGAACAGTTCATTGGTGAGAACAATCTAATAATGGGTTCTTGCCATATATTTCTCATGATTGCAAGATCGGTGACAACAACATATCTGCCAACAATACTCTTCTTGCAGGCCATGTGGTCGTAGAGGTAATACTAATGATACTACTTGAATGGCGTGGTTTTTATTCGGATCTGTATCTATGTAATTTATCGCCAAATTTAAGCTTTTGCTGCTGAAAAATGCAGGACTATACACACAGCAGAAGCCACTGTGGTTCACCAGTTTTGCCACGTTGCTACTTGAATGGCATGATTATTTAGAGATGTTGCAGGAACAAGGCAGAGATCAGTACGGAGTTCCCGTGGTGCGGGAAATGGTGCAGTCAATCTGGGATTCTTTCTCTGAAAACCGTCGTGGGATCTACAAGTTGAGGCAGTGGTCGGGTTCTTGAGTATCACTGCCTAGTCTTCTCTCCCTTGTTTGGTTGTATATGGACCTCTTCGATGTGTGTTCAATCACAAACAATGGCTGAAGCTACCTTTAATAGAATTTTTGCTTTGGTACCAAAAAGTACATATTGGTTTGAAGAAGGGTGAAGTCTCTTGCAAAACATGTTCTCTTCGGGAGCATCTAAAGATACTACTTTGGTATTAAACAAAAGAGAAAATAAAAAAAAAAACACTAAACTCTCAAATTTTGACAAAAACACATTTAACTTTTTATTTTATCAAGGGAAAAACTCCTAAAAATTTCTGAATTTACAAAATGCGAGGAAAAAAATTCCTGAACTTGTGAGGGTGCCAAATAATTCATGATCTTGCAAAAAGTGTTTCAATAAATACTAATCTTGTTAAAAAGTGTCATATTAGTCCTTCGAAAAAAACTGATTATAATAATATGATTCTATATCCTACTTTACGATTGCTTATGTTTGCGTGTTTTGTTGTGTTCCAAAACACAGACAATATAATGGGGAGGAAAAATAAGATATGAAAATTACAATACATAATCTTTTCTATCCCTTTTGTTTATTTAATTATGTTTATATATTTATATATAATATTGTTTACAACGTATTTGCTTAGTTTGAAATGCTGTCATGGAGTTCAAAACTATTGTTTTATGATCGAACAAAACATTTATATTTGCATAAGAAATATTTTATCAGATTATTTTATTATTTTCAAATAATCTGATAGACTACACGGAATAATCCTATTGGTATAATCACTGGATTTTTAAATAAAAAATGAAGATTAATTTCATTAAGTAGAAAATGATGGAATGCCTTTCTCTACATAATGCAATAGCCACGCTCGTTGGTCTTCTAAATGTTTTAAATAAAATATGCATTTAAATAGTTTTTTAAATTGTTTGGGGGAACATTTAGCTAACAAAAAATTAGGTAAAATCATAAAATATTTGGCTTAATAACGTAAGTTTGAAAAAGGTTGGATTTATATCCCTTACCCATTAGTTGAACTAAATTTGAAGTTATTTCTTCTGCTTCTCCCGCAATTATGTCCACTAAATCCAAGCATAATTATTTATTTAATTTTGTTTTTTTAATTGGAAATAACTAGAAATATATCTTTCGCTTCGGACAATATAACATTGAATCAAATCAAATCATGCATTTTCAAATTAAAATTTTATTAAATATCATATTTTAGATTTCAGTTAAGAAATTGGAATCGAATACGAAAACGATATTTTTACCGAAACAAAACAGCAAAAACAAATCAAAATTAAATAAATATAATTTCAAAAATTAAACGTTCACTGAATAATAACTGAACCATAATATAATATGCATGAGAAACATTAAATAGTAAGAACTATTAACACCGCATGAATACAAAATAAAAAATCACATCAACCAAATCATTAAAGCTTTTGTCTCTAAAGACACAAATATATATATATATATATATATATATATATATATATATATATGCCCTGTTTTCTTTTCTTTTTCCACTTTTAATCATTTCCATTTTATCACATTACCTCAATCTTTTTATTAAATGATATCAAACGATCCACAAAACTAACTCAAATCCAAAATATAGATGAAACTTTTATGCACGTGTGTGGAGTTCAATAGTATGATAGAGAGTCGCGTAGCTCGGCTTTAGGGGTTTGCTAATGATGCCGTTACCAAATATTGACAAGTTTCTTTATTATTAGTTTTAGGGTTTTGTTTTTAGGTTTTTTATTTGTAGTTGTTGGAATTCTTAGCCCTTTGTGAAGAGCCAATGATGCACTTGTGGGAAAGATATGTGAATTAACTAAATTATCATCCCATTGGTATCTAAAATTTTTGTTTGCTTTATAAAGTAGATGTGATGATGCTAAGGGGAGTGGAGCCCTTAACCAAAAGGAAACATACTAGCATCTTTTAAAATATATCACAATTTTCAACCTTCTTTTATTAAAAAAATATAAAATTATTACAAAGAAAAAAAGAAAAAAAAACGTCTATGGAGGAACCTAGGGTTCTAGGAATATAGGGTCTTGGCCTCTCTAGGTTTATGTTTGGTGGTTTCCCAAATTGAAATAAAATGACCATTAAAACACTAAGTGTCCAATGTCTCATATGTCTTAATGGCCCAAATTTGATACAACATGGCTTTCATGGATTTTTGTTTGTCCTTCACTAATGTTCCTCTAAGATAGATTGCCTTTTTTTAAAAAAAAAATCAAGTGTCCTACATTGTTTCCATTCGAGTGAAATTAAGTTCTCCATTTTTTTACCAAAAAAAAAAAAGTTTTCCATTTGTGCTGTTAGGATTAAACCTCCCACATCATTCATTCTTATTATTTCCCTTTACTAAATTAAATTCGACTTCATAATTGTTTTCCTTCACAATATATAGTTTGACAAACACAATTACTGATTATATTTAATATCATATATGATCGGATTCATATAGTTTACTACTATTTATCTTAATTATTTTTTCTTGAAACGACACGGGTACCGTATAATATTTTAAAAATGGGAAACGATGTTTAGCAAACTGATTAGATGTTTATATTCAATGGTTTAGGGTCTAAAAAGTGTTAAAGGTAAGTACATTCCGTATGTCAGGTTTCATAAATTAACGTATTTTCCTCCATTCTTTTACGTCGTTTGGTATTTCATTCGTAGATGCACCATTCCATATCTTAGTAGCCTTAATATATAAAAAAATTGAAGTAGTTTTAGTCATGTCAATTTCTCACTACAAAAAATAAAAAAAAATAAAAATTTGACATGTCTACTTCTTTTGTCGGAATAAAATATCCAACTAATTTGTTTTGGTGGTTGGGTGGATGGTTATGTGACACGTGGCATAATGTTGCCGAACCAATGATTTGCTTTGGTTAAAAGCCAATGGATGAAGCATCGTTAGTTTCCTTTTACATGCAATGGCCCTCTACCAAATAAATAAGCCTTAACGTAATGTTTTTCAATCATTATATTTCAATTTTTTCCACCTTAACCTCCATTTCCTTTTGTGTGCGATTGTTGTCCATTTCACGATTACGACGCATCATTTCATTTGTTTCTCAACACCATCACATAATTTAGTAAATATTGTATCAAATTCTAGGGTCGGATATTCGAAAAGATTTTGGAACCGAATTGTTTGGATTGTAAGTTCTCGAATGAATTTTATTGTTAGCTGTTAATTCAAATATTTAGATATCCATAGATAGAATAGTATATAAAATTTTTCGGATTACAAGAAGACTCCGTGATTTGCATCGTCGAAGCTTTCAACATTCTTCACCATTAATGTCCTAACACTGATATATATATATATATATATATACACTTGACAAAAATACACTGATATATAAATATATATGTATATATGTTTTGTAAATATGGGAGCAGGTTTGAAAAAGGATTGGTTGAAATTGAAAGCATTTAGGGCCCATTTCCTCCGGCCTTTAGCTCCAAAGGATTTGGGCTTCCTTCTTCTTACACTTCGTTCTAGGGTTCGTATAAGAAGCTAAGTTTCCGATGCAGTCTTACGTTGTTCCTCTGTTTTATGCTGTCGGAGAATGGCTTACTCTAGTGTTAGAGACAGCGATATGTCGTTCAGAGAGAGATTGAGATGTGGGTTTGCTGACAGTAATGTCCACGAAGCTGTTGCTTTGTTCCATCAGATGGTTCGGTCTCGCCCCCTCCCTTCAATTATCGATTTCAACATGCTGTTGAGTGCCATCGCCAAGATGAAACGGTATGATGTTGTGATTTCGCTTTTCAAATCAATGGAATTGGTCGGGGTTTCACACAATCTCTACACTTTGAGCATTCTGATCAACTGTTTCTGTCGCTCACGTCAAGCGGTCTTAGGATTTTCGATTTTTGGAAAGATCATGAAGTCGGGTTACGAGCCTAGCGCTGTCACATTCAACACTCTGATCAATGGGTTCTGCATCCTAGGTGAAGTTTCCGCAGCTTTAGACTTGATGGAGCGAATGGTGGATGCAGGACTTCAGCCTGATGTCGTAACATTTAACACTGTCGTCAACGGATTTTGTCTCAAGGGTAGAATTCACGAGGCAGTAACTTTGACTGAGCGGATGGTAGAGAAAGGCTGTCACCCCAATACTCGTACATATAACACCATTTTGAACGGTATTTGCAAGCTAGGGGATTCTGCTTTAGCTCTGGATTTGATCAAGAAGATGGAGGAAAGGTGCACGGTGGTCACTGTCGTAACATATAATACGATTATCGATTGTCTTTGCAAATCTGGGAACATCGACAATGCGTTGAACGTCTTTAGTAAGATGGATGATCGAGGAGTTTTATCAGATGTCATTACCTATAACACTTTGGTTAATGGCATGTGTAGTTTAGGCAGATGGAACGATGCCTCGCGATTACTGAAGGATATGATGAGAAGAAAAATCATGCCAGATGTAGTTACTTTCAACGGATTAATCGATAAATTCATTAAAGAGGGGATGTTTCTAGAGTCTAAAGAACTGTACGAACAGATGCTCCAGAGAGGTTTGGTACCGGATACGGTCACTTATAATTCTCTTATTGATGGGTTTTGCATGCAGAATCGTCTTGATCAAGCAAGACAAGTGTTTGATTCTATGGTTACCAAGGAATGTTTTCCAAATGTAGTGACATTTGGTGCTCTCATAAATGGATACTGCAAGTCTGGTAGGGTTGATAAGGGTCTCGAGCTCTTTAGTGAGATGTCTCGAAGAGGGGTGACTGCTAATAACAGAATTTACAACTCTCTCATTCAAGGATTTTGCCAGGCAGGCAACATTGATGCTGCCCAGACACTTTTCTTCGAGATGCAGCGTCGCGGTCCACATCCTGATCTAATAACTCACAATATTTTGCTTGATGGACTATGTAAAAATGGAAAACTGGATGAAGCATTGGAATTGTGCAGCAAGATGGAAAAGGATGGGATGAGCCTTGATATAGCTGTACACAATATTATCATTCATGGCATGTGCAAGGCGAAAAAGATTGATGAGGCATTGCAGTTGTTTAATCTGCTTTCGGATAAAGGGGTGGAACCAAATGTGATAACATATAATACGATGATTTCGGGACTCTGTCGGAGGGGTTTATTTGGTGAAGCCGAGAAGTTATTTAGTGAGATGAAAGAGACTGGTTGTTTGCCGAATGATCGTACATACAACACATTGGTCCAGGGTTATCTAAATCACGGATACACGTTAAAGGGTATCAAACTTATAAAAGAAAAGAAGAGATGCGGGTTCTCTGCAGATGCGTCAACGATAAAGATTGTAGTAGATATGGTATGTGACGGTAGGTTGGGCCAAGAGTTTTTGGATTCTCTTTGATAACGGGACCTTGCTTCCTGTGATGGCAATCGTCTGAGTAGGAGGTGGGTTGTTTTTTCTGGCCTATAGATTTGGATTTGGATATCAAATGCGTTGAGACCTTCAAGGAGCTCCAATCTGATCGTTCTTTGGATGATTTGCAGACAGCCCGGTAAGGTTATGAGATGGAGTGTCAACTTCATCTTTGATGAGAAGTCAACTTAACAAAGTCTTCTCGCTGAGGAAAACATCACAATAAGGTTACCATGAAACCTACTGTGGTTGCATCAATCATTCTACAGATCACTTCCTCATGTCTGTCTCATGATGAAGCTGAATTTAAAAGGTAATGTCTGTTCTGTCGTTTATCACTTTCTCATGTTTGCTTGACGTGAAAATGGATAATATCCCCCTTAATTAAAATTTATAAAACCTGGGCCTATAGTTGGTAGAAAAATATAAGAATTTTATGCCATATTTAATGACAGCAACATCAACGGCCCATTAACTACCATGTTGATTATGCTATTGAATCGCACTTAAAATATCTAACAATATTTGTAATCATCGAATTTAAATTTAAATTTAAATTTAATTCTAGCAAACTCGCAACATAATCATATTTTTGCTCAACTAAACCTTTTAAAATAACGAAAGTCAAAACATTTAATAATAACTGAACGATAACATAGTATAAATGGCAAACATTAAATAGTAAGAACTATTAACACCGCATGAATACAAAATAAAAATCACACCACGCAAATCAATGAACCTTTAACAAAAATGATCAATGAACCCCATTGGCATTGTACCCCCACCATCCATAAAAATAGTAACTTTTTTTGTATATATAAAATGTCTGCCTATGTGTCTTAGTTTTGCTGAATAATTCTCACTTTTAATCATTTTCAATTTTATCACATTACCTCAATCTTCTTATTAAATGATATCAAACGATCCATAAAATTAAAGTCAAATAGTTTCTTTATTGTTAGTGTTAGGGTTTTGTTTTTAGTTTTTTTTTTTGTAGTTGTTGGAATTCTTAGCCCTTTTGTAAGGAGCCAATGATGCACTTGTGGGAAAGATATGTTATCATCCCATTGGTATCTAAAATTTGTGTTTGCTTTATAAAGTAGATGTGATGATGCTAAGAGAAGTGGAGCCCTTAACCAAAAGAAAACATACTAGCATCTTTTAAAATATGTCACAAATTTCAACCTTTTTTTTTAAATTAAAAATAGAAAATTATTAAAAAAAATGAAGAAAAAAAACGTCTATGGAGGAATATAGGGTTCTAGGAATATAGGGTCTTGGCCTCTCTTGGTTTATGTTTGGTTGTTTCCCAAATTGAAATAAAATGAGCATTAGAACACCAAGTGTCCAATGTCTCATATGTCTTAATGGCCCAAATTTGATACAACATGGCTTTCATGGATTTTTGTATGTCCTTCACTAATGTTCCTCTAAGATATGTTAACTATTTTTTTTTAATTCGAGTATATGTATTAAATTTTTTTTATGACATGAGAATCCGCAATTACTATCATTCGGGTACGCCCTAGATAAATCTCCACATCATGTAATAACATGCAAACTGTATGAGAGACGTAAACCAATCTAAGTTATCCATAACTATAATGTTCATATATAGATGAGGAATTTAAGACGATTCGAATTCCCAACGTTAAGATGAAATGGTCAGTATTTAAACAACTTATATGGGTTTCTCCCATGTGATCCTACATTGTTTCCATTCAAGTGAAATTTAGTCTTCCATTTGTGCTCTTACGGTTAAACCACCCACACCACTCGTTCTTATTATTTCCCATTACTAAATTAAATTCGACTTCGTAATTGTTTTCCTTCAGAATATATAGCTTGACAAACACAATTACTGATTATATATAATATCGTATATGATCGGATTCATATATTCCACTATTAGATTGACCTTTTTCGATATTGCAGAGGGAATGAAGGAGACGAAAAAAGAACTTTAGAAATTTTCTCAGTGTATTGCAAAACTGCGTTGTACATCATGCATATATACAAAACGAATTAAGGAATCAATTTGCAAGAAAACAAACCTATCCTATAAAGGCTATATAGATCAGAGAAACTGTGAGTAATACATAGCCTTGCAATCTGTTTGCTAAACCAGAGACTGAAAAGTTGAGCATAACCAAACCATAACCGAAAGAGCTTAACCGATAATAATCTTAATTCTTTGTTTTTTTATTTGAAACGATACGGATTCTATATAATATTTTTAAGATGCCGGTTAGATGTTTATATTCAATGGTTTAGGGTTTAGAAACAGTTCAAGGTAAGTACATTCCGTATGTTAGGTTTCATAAATTAACGTATTTTCCTCCATTCTTTTACTTCTTTTGGTATTTCATTCGTAGATGCACCATTCCATATCTTAGTAGCCTTAGTAAAAAAAATGTAGTAGTTAAATTATCATTTTTTTTCCTGCTCCTTTGCTGTACTTCTTTTGTCGGAATAAAATATCCAACTAATTTTTTTTGGTGGTTGGTTGGATGGTTATGTGACACGTGGCATAATGTTGCCGAACCAATTAAGGGATGAAAGCCGATGGATGCAATGGCACTCTCACCTAATAAATAAGCCTTAACGTAATGTTTTTCTATCATTATATTTCAGTTTTTACAATTTAAAATAATGAGGAGAAAACTAGAAAATATAATATTTCGGATTACAAGAAGACTCCGTGATTTGCATCGTCGAAGCTTTCAACATTCTTCACCATTAATGTCCTAACACTGATATATATATATATATATATACACTTGACAAAAATACACTGATATATAAATATATATGTATATATGTTTTGTAAATATGGGAGCAGGTTTGAAAAAGGATTGGTTGAAATTGAAAGCATTTAGGGCCCATTTCCTCCGGCCTTTAGCTCCAAAGGATTTGGGATTCCTTCTTCTTACACTTCGTTCTAGGGTTCGTATAAGAAGCTAAGCACATTAGCAATTTCATGTATTTCGGCACACTAACAAATCTCCTCTTTCCTTAAAGCTGCTCTAGGTTTCTCTCTGTATGTTCTGAAGCTTCACGATGTCGCCGATGGTTCGGAGAGTGGCTGCCGTTGCAGTGTCTTCTGCATCATGCTTCATTTGTACTCCTCTCTCACACAAAGGTATTTCCAATGCAGTCTTACGTTGTTCCTCTGTTTTATGCTGTCGAAGAATGGCTTACTCTAGTGTTAGAGACAGCGATATGTCGTTCAGAGAGAGATTGAGATGTGGGTTTGCTGACAGTAATGTCCACGAAGCTGTTGCTTTGTTCCATCAGATGGTTCGGTCTCGCCCCCTCCCTTCAATTATCGATTTCAACATGTTGTTGAGTGCCATTGCCAAGATGAAACGGTATGATGTTGTGATTTCGCTGTGCAAATCAATGGAATTGGTCGGGATTTCACATGATCTCTACACTTTGAGCATTCTGATCAACTGTTTTTGTCGCTCACGTCAAGCGGTCTTGGGATTTTCGGTTTTTGGAAAGATCATGAAGTTGGGTTACGAGCCTGATACTATCACATTCAGTACACTAATCAATGGGTTCTGCATCCTCGGTGAAGTTTCCGCAGCATTAGACTTGATGGAGCGAATGGTGGATGCGGGACTTCAACCTAATGTCGTAACATTTAACACTGTCGTCAACGGATTGTCTCAAGGGTAGAATTCACGAGGCAGTAACGTTGGCTGAGCGGATGGTAGAGAAAGGCTGTCACCCCGATACTTTTACATATAACACCATTTTGAACGGCATTTGCAAAGTAGGAGATTCTGCTTTAGCTTTGGATTTGGTCAAGAAGATGGAGGAAAGGTGCACGATGGTCGATGTCGTAACTTATAATACGATTATCGATTGTCTTTGCAAATCTGGGAACATAGACGATGCGTTCGGCGTTTTCAATAAGATGGATGATCGAGGAGTTGTATCGGATGTCATTACGTATAACACTTTGATAAACGGGCTCTGTATTTTCGGTAGATGGAACGACGCCTCACAATTGTTGAAGGATATGATGAGAAGAAAAATCATGCCCGATGTAGTTACTTTCTCCGGATTAATCGATAAATTCATTAAAGAGGGCACGTTTCTGGAGGCTAAAAAACTTTACGGACAGATGCTCCAGGGAGGTTTGGTACCGAATATGGTCACTTATACTTCATTGATTGATGGGTTTTGCATGCAGAATCGCCTTGATGAAGCAAGACAAATGTTTGATTCTATGGTTACCATGGGATGTTTTCCAAATGTAGTGACGTTTGGTGCTCTCATAAATGGATACTGCAAGTCTGGTAGGGTCGATAAGGGTCTCGAGCTTTTGAATGAGATGTCTCGAAGAGGGGTGACTGCTAATAACATAATTTACAATTCTCTCCTTCAAGGATCTTGCCAGACAGGCAACCTTGATGCCGCCCAGACGCTTTTCTTCGAGATGCAATGTCACGGTCCACTTCCTGATCTAATAACTCACAAGATTTTGCTTGATGGGCTGTGTAAAAATGGAAAACTGGATGAAGCATTGGAATTATGCAGCAAGATGGAAAAGGATGGGATCAGCCTTGATATAGTTGTATATAGTATTTTCATCCATGGCATGTGTAAGGCGGAAAAGGTTGATGAGGCATTGCAATTGTTTAATTTGCTTTCGGATAAAGGGGTGGAACCAAATGTGATAACATATAATATGATGATTTCGGGACTCTGTCGGAGAGGTTTATTTGGTGAAGCCGAGAAGTTATTTAGTGAGATGAAAGAGACTGGTTGTTTGCCGAATGATCGTACATACAACACATTGATCCAGGGTTATCTAAATCACGGATACACGTTAAAGGGTATCAAACTTATAAAAGAAAAGAGATGTGGGTTCTCTGCAGATGCGTCAACGACAAAGATTGTGGTAGATATGCTATGTGACGGTAGGTTGGACAAAGAGTTTTTGGGTTCTCTTTGATAACGGACCTTGCTTCCTGTGATGGCAATCGTCTGAGTACGAGGTGAGTTGTTTTTTTTCTGGCCTATAGATTTGGATGTGTTAGTTTGGATTTGGATATCAAATGCGTTGAGACCGTCAAGGATCTCCAATCTGATCGTTCTTTGGATGATTTGCAGACAGCCCGGTAAGGTTATGAGGAAAGATGAGATGGAGTGCCAACTTCATCTTTGATGCAGAAGTCAACTTAACAAAGTCTTCTTGCTGAGGATCACTGCTTATGTCTTCTCAGTGTGACTATCAACGCGTTTATGGTTTCTCGAAAGACAGCAAACATGTGTTGTTGTGTATACATAGACATATCCCCCTGTTTTCTTTTTTTAGAACGAAAAACTTAGTTTTGTTCAAAAGAATCCATATCCAAAAAATATATGGAATTTTCGCTAATGAATTCCATCTAAAACCGTTTCATTTAATAAAAACAAGGGATAATTCCATTTAAAACCCTGTACTTTTCTCTCGTCGCAATTTAAACCCTGTACTTTTTTTTGATCCAAAAAAACATTGTACTTTTGAAAATTGGCAATTAAAACTCTATACTTTTAAAAATTGGCAAATAAAACCCTGAACAAAAAATAATATTATTTAATGCTGACATGGCATCCTAATCATCTGCCACATCATCAATCTCTAATATTTAATAATATTAATTAATAAAAATAAAAATAAAATAATAAAAATAAAAATAAAATTTTTAAAATGATATATATTCATAAAAATTATACATATATATAAACATGTTTATAAAATTTTTAAAATTATATACATATATAAATATATTTATATATACATATATATACATATATAAATATATTTATATATACATATATATAGATATGATACATATATATCTATATATGTGTATAATTATTATATGTTTTATATGTATGTGTTATATATGTATTTTTCCCTAAAAACATTATATATATATGTATGATTTTTAGGAAAAAAATATAATTTTTAAAATTTTATTTTTATTTTTATTATTTTATTTTTATTTTGTATTAATTAATATTATTAAATATTAGGGATTGATGATGTGGCAGATGACCAGGATGTCATATCAGCATTAAATAATATATTTTTTCGTTCAGGGTTTTATTTGCCAATTTTTAAAAGTATAGAGTTTTAATTGCCAATTTTTAAAAGTACAGTGTTTTTTTGGATCAAAAAAAAGTACAGGGTTTAAATTGCGACGAGAGAAAAGTACAGGGTTTTAAATGGAATTATCCCTAAAAACAATTACCCAAATTATTCTTCTTAGAATATTTATAATGTTTCGTAAAACTGGTCAATATGATATGGACTATAATATACTAAACAAGTTAAAATAATTATAATGCTTTGTGTTTGTGATTAAAAAATATATGTATTAAAGGAATATTTTTACAGCTTAACATAATTAAGGAAAAAACCAGAAAACAGAACAATCCCAAGGACCGACTGCTCGCTCTAGGGTTCGCGAAAGCAGATTTGATATAATCCATGTGTTTTTAAATCTTTGGCCCATTTTCCCTAAAATTAGCAAAAGCAGATTTGCCGTTTCCTTCAGTCTTCTGCTCACTCCGATGTCGGCGATGGTTCGGAGAGTGGCTGCCGTTGCATTGCCTTCTGCATCATGTTCCATTCGTACTCCTCTCTCTCACAGAGGTATACCCGACACAGTCTTACGCTGTTCCTCTGCTTTAAGTTGTCGGAGATTGGTTTATTCTGGCGTTAGAGACAGCGGTATGTCGTTCAGAGAGAGATTGAGACATGGGTTTGCTTATAGTAATGTGGATGAAGCTGTTGCTTTGTTCCATCAGATGGTTCGGTCTCGCCCCCTCCCTTGTATTATCGATTTCAACATGTTGTTGAGTGCCATCGTCAAGATGACACGGTATGATGTTGTGATTTCGCTTTGCAACATTTCTCGGGGTTTCATATAATCTCTACACTTTCAATATTCTGGTCAAAACTGTTTCTGCCGTTCACGTCAAGTGATCTCAGGATTTTCGATTTTGGGAAAGATCATGAAGTTGGGCTACAAAGCTAGTGCTGTTACATTCATGGATTGTGCATGGCTGAGAAGATTGATGAAGCATTGCAGTTATTTAATCTACCCCTAATATTTTTTTTTTCTTCTTGTAAAGAGCAAGATAAGATCACACCGGTCATAAAAATAGAGTTTATATTCAAAATTGATGCAAATCATATTGTCATTTGAAAAGTATTTATTTAAAATGTAAATAAGAAGCCTTAAAATTCTAAAAAACCAAGTATCATGCAATTGTTTTTTTTTTAAAAAAAAATTCCTATGGGAGTTTAGAATCAATGCATAAAAGCGGTAGGAAGATTAAAAATTGGTATAGGTAGTTGGATCTTCTTTGGTATTTTTGTCAATTAAAAACCAAATTTTTATAGAGCCCCAAATCCATATACCCAAAAAAAATTTGCAACTCTTTTTCCTTGTCATATTTTTGTTTTCCAGTGGTAATTTGTAATTTCAACATTAAGTTTGGAGAGATTGAAAAATCATACATTTCGCATCGACTGTAATATGTCGTAACGAGAATCCAAAATCTCATAAAATAAGCTTTCGTTTTCCTAAATTAAGACAATAGTTATATATAAATAAACTTAAATTATTCTCACGTCAGTCAGTATTATAATTATTCTGATTATTGTTCTTGGCGGGGTTTCGCTTAAATTCTTATAATGCCAACTGGCAGACAGACTCTCTCTCTGTTTAGTGTTTATGTTCGCAACAGGAAAACAAGACCAAGAGTTACTGTCTTAGAAATGTTTTTTTTTGTTGTTAAAAGCTGTCTTAGAAATGTTCCTTCTTTCTCATGTTTTAACATAAATGAAAATAAATCAGAAAATTCGCATTAAATTTAACGTTACTGAGCTGATAAAATCTTCGGCCCATTTCCTTCGGCCTTCAGCTCCAAATGGTTTGGGCTTCTTACACTTCGTTCTAGGGTTCGTATAAGCAGCAAGCAGTTTGCCATTTCATGTATTTCGGCACACTAACAGACTCCTCCTTTCCTCAAATCCGTGCTAGGTTTCTCTCTGTTCGTTCTGAAGCTTCACGATGTCGCCGATGGTTCGGAGAGTGGCTGCCGTTGCATTGTCATCTGCGTCATGCTTCATTCGTACTCCTCTCTCTCACAAAGGTATTTCCGATGCAGTCTTACGTTGTTCCTCTGTTTTATGCTGTCGGAGAATGGCTTACTCTAGTGTTAGAGACAGCGATATGTCGTTCAGAGAGAGATTGAGATGCGGGTTTGCTGACAGTAATGTCCACGAAGCTGTTGCTTTGTTCCATCAGATGGTTCGGTCTCGCCCCCTCCCTTCTATTATCGATTTCAACATGTTGTTGAGTGCCATCGCCAAGATGAAACGGTATGATGTTGTGATTTCGTTTTGCAAATCAATGGAATTGGTCGGGATTTCACATGATCTCTACACTTTGAGCATTCTGATCAACTGTTTTTGTCGCTCACGTCAAGCGGTCTTGGGATTTTCGGTTTTTGGAAAGATCATGAAGTTGGGTTACGAGCCTAATACTATCACATTCAGTACACTAATCAATGGGTTCTGCATCCTCGGTGAAGTTTCCGCAGCATTAGACTTGATGGAGCGAATGGTGGATGCAGGACTTCAACCTGATGTCGTAACATTTAATACTGTCGTCAACGGATTTTGTCTCAAGGGTAGAATTCACGAGGCAGTAACTTTGACTGAGCGGATGGTAGAGAAAGGCTGTCACCCCAATACTCGTACATATAACACCATTTTGAACGGCATTTGCAAGATAGGGGATTCTGCTTTAGCTCTAGATTTGATCAAGAAGATGGAGGAAAGGTGCACGGTGGTCGATGTCGTAACATATAATACGATTATCGATTGTCTTTGTAAATCTGGGAACATCGACAATGCGTTGAACGTCTTTAGTAAGATGGATGATCGAGGAGTTTTATCAGATGTCATTACCTATAACACTTTGATTAATGGCATGTCTAGTTCAGGCAGATGGAACGACGCCTCACAATTGTTGAAGGATATGTTGAGAAGAAAAATCATGCCGGATGTCGTTACTTTCTCCGGATTAATCGATAAATTCATTAAAGAGGGGATGTTTCTAGAGTCTAAAGAACTGTACGAACAGATGCTCCAGAGAGGTTTGGTTCCAAACACGGTCACTTATAGTTCACTGATATTTGCATGCAGAATCGCCTTGATGAAGCAAGACAAATGTTTGATTCTATGGTTACCATGGGATGTTTTCCAAATGTAGTGACGTTTGGTGCTCTCATAAATGGATATTGCAAGTCTGGTAGGGTCGATAAGGGTCTCGAGCTCTTGAGTGAGATGTCTCAAAGAGGGGTGACTGCTAATAACATAATTTACAACTCTCTCATTCAAGGATTTTGCCTGGCAGGCAACATTGATGCCGCCCAGACACTTTTCTTCGAGATGCAGCGTCGTAGTCCATATCCTGATCTAATAACTCACAATATTTTGCTTGATGGACTTTGTAAAAATGGAAAACTGGATGAAGCATTGGAATTGTGCAGCAAGATGGAAAAGGATGGGATGAGCCTTGATATAACTGTATACAATATTATCATTCATGGCATGTGCAAGGCGGAAAAGATTGATGAGGCATTGCAGTTGTTTAATCTGCTTTCGGATAAAGGGGTGGATCCAGATGTGATAACTTATACTACGATGATTTCGGGACTCTGTCGGAGAGGTTTATTTGGTGAAGCCGAGAAGTTATTTAGTGAGATGAAAGAGACTGGTTGTTTGCCGAATGATCGTACATACAACACATTAATCCAGGGTTATCTAAATCACGGATACACGTTAAAGGGTATCAAACTTATAAAAGAAAAGAAGAGATGCGGGTTCTCTGGAGATGCGTCAACGACAAAGATTGTGGTAGATATGCTATGTGACGGTAGGTTGGACAAAGAGTTTTTGGGTTCTCTTTGATAATGGACCTTGCTTCCTGTGATGGCAGTCATCTGAGTACGAGGTGGGTTGTTTTTTTCTGGCCTATAGATTTGGATGTGTTAGTTTGGATTTGGATATCAAATGCATTGAGACCTTCAAGGAGCTCCAATCTGATCGTTGATCGTTCTTTGGATGATTTGCAGACAGCCCGGTAAGGTTATGAGGAAAGATGAGATGGAGTGCCAACTTCATCTTTGATGCAGAAGTCAACTTAACAAAGTCTTCTTGCTGAGGAAGACATCACAATAAGGTTGGCATGGAACCTACTCTGGTTGCATCAATCATTCTACAGATCATTTTCTCATGTTTGTCTCATGATGAAGCTGAATTTATAAGGTAATGTCTCTTCTGTTTTTCATTGTTTGGTCCAATATAAAGAAAACATTTGTAATGTAATTTGTGAAATAGATCTGTTCCTTACCATATGGTCTCCTGTTTAATCATATGGGCTACTTCAAAATCGTTCCATCCTATTCCTATTCTTAGCTTTGTTTTCTTATTTTATGATATTGTTGTGATAAAATTGTGCTAGACATGCATTTGATTTGAATTCAGCGAGTAAGAGTGTGTTCCTTTCTGGTAAGGGACAATTGGTAATGTTCTTGTTATGGTTGGTGACTCAGAGGAAGTCAACTTCTTGCTGTAGAAAACATCATCACACATAGGGTTTGCATAAGATCACCGCTCCTGAATTACAAATAATGGCTTTGTATCAATAAAACCATCAAAATTTATCCTTACGTAAAGAAAACTAAGTATAACGCAATTGTTTTTTGTAATCAATGCATAAAAGCTGTAGGAAGAATAAAAATTGCAAATATATCGGTGGATGGATCTTGGTATTTTTGTCAAATAAAATTCTTATAATGCCCAAATAAGTCTACTTAAAAGGCCCAATGGATATAATATATATATATATATATATATATATATATATATTGCAACTCTTTTTGGTTTGCATTAATATCCAAAAAAGTATCATAATCTTTTAATTTCCATATTTTTGTCTTTCAATGTGTAAGAGGAGATTTAACTAACAGAGACAAACCGGTCTTCCTGTTGCGTTGGTTTTGATCTGCTTATCCTTCGGTTCACGCTCTTATGGGGTCGATTATGCATTGGTCCCATCTGACACCAAGTAAAACTCTTCTCTTGGTCCCGACAGCCGCCGTGGTGTTGTTGATGATGATGATGATCTTCCCGAGTTATAGGGTATATCAACGTTATTGGTCGCCATGCTGTGGTTGGTCTTAAATGCCAAGACGTGAAATACAAGGTGATCAGAAAATGACAACTTGTCATATCCCGTGTTTACGAATGCTCTGCTTAAGAGTTGAGACCAATTCAAAAGCTGTGTACTGACCTGGAGTCTACACTTTTTGTTTCACTTTTCAGGCCGGGGATAGGTGCTTTCTTCACATTGGTAATAACAATGAGACCAGAGAGTTCTGTTCGATTCACAGATCATCAAAGTCCACCGATGCTAGTCTTTTATGAAGTGTGTTCTTACAGTCTCTCTGTGGAACAGGTCATTGGTGAGAACAATCTAATAATGGGTTCTTGCCATGTATTGCTCATGATTGCAAGATCGGTGACAACAACATATCTGCCAACAATACTCTTCTTGCAGGCCATGTGGTCGTAGAGGTAATATTAACTATACACACACAGCAGGAGCCATTGTGGTTCACCAGTTTTGCCACATTGGTTCTTTCTCTTGCATCAGTGGTGGTTCAGTGGTATGTCCTTTCTCAGAGCTCTCAGTTGCAATGTGCCTTTCCTCACACAACGGGAACTCTTATCGGGTTTTCTGCATAGAAAGTGGAATGCAAAGCTCCGGGTTTTTTCTTGTTGTCTGAATTACATGATGGTGACCGGAGAAAGAGCAGAAATTCGCGGTCTGAAAGCACGTATTGGTTTGAAGAAGGGTGAAGTCTCTTGCAAAACATGTTGTCTTTGGGAGCATCTAAAGATACTGCTCTGTGGTTAAACAAAACTAACATAAAACACAGTTTTGTTTAAGAGAATCCGATTTACTTTTTTTAAAAAAAAAATTAAAATATTTCACCTATCCACCAAAAGACCATTGAAAAATATATGGAATTTTCATTAATGAATTTTGATTTATTACCCAAATGATTTTCTTAGAATATCTATAAGGTTCCTTAAAACTCGTCAATGTGATATGAACTACAAAATTCATCAAAATAAGAAGTTTAATTTTATAAATATATAATCGAATTTTAAACTCATAAAATTTTTACATGCTAGAAATACATAATATCCATGCTATAGAAAATATCCAGTTTATCAAAGACAAGAATTGTCGTGGTGATGATAGTAAGGCAAAATGGAAGACGGTACACTCGAATGAGATAAAATAATATACTAAATTTCTCGATACAGTATAACAATAATTATATCTAATAACTAAATTTTGTCTTTGTGATAGAAAAATAAGGAATATTTTTACAATTAATGAGGATTGAGGAGAAAACTAGAAAACAAAATATTTCGGACTCCGTGTTCGGCATCGAGGCTTCCGACGTTCTTCAAGATAATGTCGTAACACTAACACATATATATAATATTTTTATAAAATGTTCGGCCCATTTCCTTGGGCTTCCTTCTTTTCTTCTTACACTTCGTTCTAGGGTTCGTATCAGAACTCAGAAGCAAAGCAGATTTGCCATTTCATGTATTTTGTGGCACGCTAACAAATTTCCTCTCTGTTCGTTCTGAACCTTCACGATGTCGCCGATGGTTCGGAGAGTGGCTGCCGTTGCATTGTCTTCTGCATCATGCTTCATTCGTACTCCTCTCTCTCACAAAGGTATTTCCGATGCAGTCTTACGTTGTTCCTCTGCTTTATGTTGTCGGAGAATGGCTTACTCTAGTGTCGGAGACAGCGATATGTCGTTCAGAGAGAGATTGAGACGTGGGTTTGCTGATAGTAATGTCGACGAAGCTGTTGCTTTGTTCCATCAGATGGCTCGATCTCGCCCCCTCCCTTCAATTATCGATTTCAATATGTTATTGAGTGCCATCGCCAGGATGAAACGGTATGATGTTGTGATTTTGCTTTGCAAATCAATGGAATTGCTTGGGATTTCACATGATTTGTGCACCTTCAATATTCTGATAAATTCTTTCTGTCGCTCACGTCAAGCGGTCTTAGGATTTTCAGTTTTGGGACAGATCATGAAGTTGGGTTACGAACCTAGTGCTGTCACATTCAACACCCTGATCAATGGGTTCTGCATCCTAGGTGAAGTTTCCGCAGCTTTAGGCTTGATGGAACGAATGGTGGATGCGGGACTTCAACCTGATGTCGTAACATTTAATACTGTCGTCAACGGACTTTGTCTCAAGGGTAGAATTCATGAGGCAGTAACTTTGACAGAGCGGATGGTAGAAAAAGGCTCTCAACCCGATACTGTTACTTATAACACCATTTTGAATGGGATTTGCAAGCTAGGGGATTCTACTTTAGCTTTGGATTTGGTCAAGACGATGGAGAAAAGGTGCACGATGGTCACTGTCGTAACATATAATACGATTATCGATTGTCTTTGCAAATCTGGGAACATCGACGATGCGTTGGGCGTTTTCAGTAACATGAATAGTCAAGGAGTTGTATCGAATGTTATTACTTATAACACTTTGATTAATGGCCTCTGCAGTTCAGGCAGATGGAACGACGCCTCACAATTTTTGAAGGATATGATCAGAAGGAAAATCATGCCCGATGTTGTTACTTTCTCCGGTTTAATCGATAAATTCATTAAAGAGGGGATGTGTCTAGAGGCTAAAGAACTGTTCGAGCTGATGCTCCAAAGAGGTCTGGTTCCAGATACGATCACTTATACTTCACTGATTGATGGGTTTTGCATGCAGAATCGCCTTGATGAAGCAAGACAAATGTTTGATTCTATGGTTACCATGGGATGTTTTCCAAATGTAGTGACGTTTGGTGCTCTCATAAATGGATACTGCAAGTCTGGTAAGCTTGATGAGGGTCTCGAACTCTTTAGCGAGATGTCTCGAAGAGGGGTGGCTGCTAATAACATAATTTACAATTCTCTCATTCAAGGATCTTGCCAGACAGGCAACCTTGATGCCGCCCAGACGCTTTTCTTCGAGATGCAATGTCACGGTCCACTTCCTGATCTAATAACTTACACGATTTTGCTTGATGGACTATGTAAAAATGGAAAACTGGATGAAGCATTAGAATTATGCAGCAAGATGGAAAAGGATGGGATGAGCCTTGATATAGTTGTATATAGTATTTTCATCCATGGCATGTGTAAGGCGGAAAAGGTTGACGAGGCATTGCAATTGTTTAATTTGCTTTCGGATAAAGGGGTGGAACCAAATGTGATAACATATAATACGATGATTTCGGGACTCTGTCGGAGAGGTTTATTTGGTGAAGCCGAGAAGTTATTTAGTGAGATGAAAGAGACTGGTTGTTTGCCGAATGATCGTACATACAACACATTAATCCAGGGTTATCTAAATCACGGATACACGTTAAAGGGTATCAAACTTATAAAAGAAAAGAAGAGATGCGGGTTCTCTGGAGATGCGTCAACGACAAAGATTGTGGTAGATATGCTATGTGACGGTAGGTTGGACAAAGAGTTTTTGGGTTCTCTTTGATAATGGACCTTGCTTCCTGTGATGGCAGTCATCTGAGTACGAGGTGGGTTGTTTTTTTCTGGCCTATAGATTTGGATGTGTTAGTTTGGATTTGGATATCAAATGCATTGAGACCTTCAAGGAGCTCCAATCTGATCGTTGATCGTTCTTTGGATGATTTGCAGACAGCCCGGTAAGGTTATGAGGAAAGATGAGATGGAGTGCCAACTTCATCTTTGATGCAGAAGTCAACTTAACAAAGTCTTCTTGCTGAGGAAGACATCACAATAAGGTTGGCATGGAACCTACTCTGGTTGCATCAATCATTCTACAGATCATTTTCTCATGTTTGTCTCATGATGAAGCTGAATTTATAAGGTAATGTCTCTTCTGTTTTTCATTGTTTGGTCCAATATAAAGAAAACATTTGTAATGTAATTTGTGAAATAGATCTGTTCCTTACCATATGGTCTCCTGTTTAATCATATGGGCTACTTCAAAATCGTTCCATCCTATTCCTATTCTTAGCTTTGTTTTCTTATTTTATGATATTGTTGTGATAAAATTGTGCTAGACATGCATTTGATTTGAATTCAGCGAGTAAGAGTGTGTTCCTTTCTGATCACTTCATCATGTCTTCTTTTTGGTGACTCAGAGGAAGTCAACTTCTTGCTGTAGAAAACATCATCACACATAGGGTTTGCATCGTGAGTTACAAATAATGGCTTTGTATTAATAAAACCATCAAAATTTATGCAAATTAAATTGTCGTTTCAAAAGGATTCCTTCACGTAAAATAAAACTAAATATCATGCAATTGTTTTTTGTAATGTCCTATGGAGTTTAGAATCAATGCCCAAATAAGTCTACTCAAAAGGCCCAATGGATGTAATATATATATATATATATATATAAAAATTGCAACTCTTTTTGGTTTGCATTAATATCCAAACAAAGTATCATAAGCTTTTAATTTCCATATTTTTGTCTTTCAATGTGTAAGAGGAGATTTAACTAACAGAGACAAACCGGTCTTCCTGTTGCGTTAGGGTTGATCTGCTTATCCTTCGGTTCACGCTCTTATGGGGTCGATGATGCATTGGTCCGATCTGACACCAACTAAAACTCGTCTCTTGGTCCCGACAGCCGCCGTGGTTGCCGAAACTTGGCGGATGAGTCTGTTAAACAGCAAACCCAACCCATTAAATGGAAAAAGGGATGTTTCGGTTGGTCCGTTTTGTACTATTGGTTCTTCGGAAAAGCTGGGCGATGGATGCAAACTATATCCTTCTAGCCACATCTTTGGGAACACAAAATTGGGGGATTCTTGCGTCCTTATGACGTAGGCCGGTTTTGCTCTTCTGACCAGTGGTATATGGTATTTCCTCTCAATTTTTTAACGTTGTTCTGGTGTGTGTGTGTATATGCCTTGATTTTTGTCAGCCAGTGGTGCTGTTGTTGATGATGATGATCTTCCCGAGTTATAGGGTATAGCAACGTTATTGGTCGCCATGCTGTGGTTGGTCTTAAATGCCAAGACATGAAATACAAGTGATCAGAAAATGATAACTTGTCATATTCCGTGTTACGGGTACTCTGCTTAAGAGTTGAGACCAATTCAAAAGCCTGTGTACTGACCTGGGGGCTGGACGTTTTGTTTTACTTTTCAGGCCGGGGGTAATTGCTTTCTTCACATTGGTAATAACAATGAGATCAGAGAGTTCTGTTCGATTCACAGATCATCAAAGTCCACCGATGCTGGTTATTGACCGATATGAGCAAAATCTCTAGTCTTTATGAAGTGTGTTCTTACAGTCTCTCTGTGGAACAGGTCATTGGTGAGAACAATCTAATAATGGGTTCTTGCCATATATTGCTCATGATTGCAAGATCGGTGACAACAACATATCTGCCAACAATACTCTTCTTGCAGGCCATGTGGTCGTAGAGGTAAATATTAACTATACACACACAGCAGGAGCCACTGTGGTTCACCAGTTTTGCCACATTGGTTCTTTCTCTTGCATCAGTGGTGGTTCAGTGGTATGTCCTTTCTCAGAGCTCTTCTTACAGGCCATGTGGTCGTAGAGGTAATACTAATGATACTACTTTAATGGCATGGTTTTTATTCGGATCTGTATCTATGTAATTTATCGCCAAATTTAAGCTGTTGCTGCTGAAAAATGCAGGACTATACACACAGCAGGAGCCACTGTGGTTCACCAGTTTTGCCATGTTGCTACTTGAATGGCATGATTATTTAGAGATGTTGCAGGAACAAGGCAGAGATCAGTACGGAGTTCCCGTGGTGCGGGAAATGGTGCAGTCAATCTGGGATTCTTTCTGTGAAAACCGTCGTGGGATCTACAAGTTGAGGCAGTGGTCGGGTTCTTGAGTATCACTGCCTAGTCTTCTCTCCCTTGTTTGGTTGTATATAGACCTCTTCGATGTGTGTTCAATCACAAACAATGGCTGAAGCTACCTTTAATAGAATTTTTGCTTTGGTACCAAAAAGTACATATTGGTTTGAAGAAGGGTGAAGTCTCTTGCAAAACATGTTCTCTTCGGGAGCATCTAAAGATACTACTTTGGTGTTAAACAAAAGAGAAAAAAAAAACACTAAACTCTCAAATTTTGACAAAAAAAAACATTTAACTTTTTATTTTATCCAGGAAAAAACTCTTAAAAATTTCCGAACTTGCAAAGTACGAGAAAAAAAATTCCTGAACTTGCGAGGGTACCAAATAATTCATGATCTTGCAAAAAGTATCTCAATAAATCTTAATCTTGTTAAAAAGTGTCATATTAATCATTCGAAAAAAACTGATTATAATAATATGATTCTATGTTCTACGTGTCAGGTGATATGGTACGCGAACTGATAAGTTTCTTTATTGTTAGTGTTAGTTTTAGTTTTTTTTTTTTTTTTTTGTAGTTGTTGGAATTCTTAGCCCTTTTGTAAGGAGCCAGTGATGGACTTGTGGGAAAGATATGTGAATTAACTAAATTATCATCCCATTGGTATCTAAAATTTTGTTTGCTTTATAAAGTAGATGTGCTAAGAGAAGTGGAGCCCTTAACCAAAAGAAAACATACTAGCATCTTTTAAAATGTGAAAATATCCAACTAATTTTTTTTTGGTGGTCGGTTGGATGGTTATGTGACACGTGGCATAATGTTGCCGAACCAATTAAGGGATGAAAGCCCATGGAGATGGAGGCAATGCCCCTCTCACCTAATAAATAAGCTTTAACGTAATGTTTTTCTATCATTATATTTCAGTTTTTTCCACCTTAACCTCCATTTCCTTTTGTGTGGGATTGTTGTCCGTTTCACGATTATGACGCATCATTTTCATTTGTTTCTCAACATCATCATATAATTTAGTAAATATTGTATCAAATTCTCAGATCGGATATTCAAAAATTTGAGAGTATAAGATTTTGGAACCGAATAGTTTGGATTGTAAGTTCTCGAATGAATTTTATCGTCAACTGTTAATTCAAATATTCAGATAGAATAGTATATAAAATTTTTCGGATTACAAGAAGACTCCGTGATTTGCATCGTCGAAGCTTTCAACATTCTTCACCATTAATGTCCTAACACTGAGATGATATTTACTTGACAAAATACACTGATATATATGTATACATGTTTTGTAAATATATCCTCCGGCCCATTTCCTTCGGCCTTTAGCTCCAAACGGTTTGGGCTTCCTTCTTCTCACCGTTCGTTCTAGGGTTCGTATCAGAAGCAAAGCAGTTTGCCATTTCATGTATTTCGGCACACTAACACACTCCTTTCCTCAAATCCGTGCTAGGTTTCTCTCTGTTCGTTCTGAAGCTTCACTATGTCGCCGATGGTTCGTAGAGTGGCTGCCGTTGCATTGTCTTCTGCATCATGCTTCATTCGTACTCCTCTCTCTCACAAAGGTATTTCCGATGCAGTCTTACGTTGTTCCTCTGTTTTATGCTGTCGGAGAATGGCTTACTCTAGTGTTAGAGACAGCGATATGTCGTTCAGAGAGAGATTGAGATGTGGGTTTGCTGACAGTAATGTCCACGAAGCTGTTGCTTTGTTCCATCAGATGGTTCGGTCTCGCCCCCTCCCTTCAATTATCGATTTCAACATGTTGTTGAGTGCCATCGCCAAGATGAAACGGTATGATGTTGTGATTTCGCTTTGCCAATCAATGGAATTGGTCGGGATTTCACATGATCTCTACACTTTGAACATTCTGATCAACTGTTTTTGTCGCTCACGTCAAGCGGTCTTTGGATTTTCGGTTTTTGGAAAGATCATGAAGTTGGGTTACGAGCCTAGTGTTGTCACATTCAACACCTTGATCAATGGGTTCTGCATCCTAGGTGAAGTTTCCGTAGCTTTAGATTTGATGGAGCGAATGGTGGAGGCGGGACATAAATGTGATGTCGTAACATTTAACACTGTCGTCAACGGACTTTGTCTCAAGGGTAGAATTCACGAGGCAGTAACTTTGACTGAGCGGATGGTAGAAAAAGGCTCTCAACCCAATATTTTGACATATAACACCATTTTGAACGGGATTTGCAAAGTAGGGGATTCTGTTTTAGCTTTGGATTTGATTAAGAAGATGGAGGAAAGGTGCATGATGGTCAACGTCGTAACATATAATACGATTATCGATTGTCTTTGCAAATCTGGGAACATAAACGATGCATTGAGCATTTTTAGTAAGATGGATGATCGAGGAGTTGTATCGGATGTTATTACGTATAACACTTTGATAAACGGGCTCTGTATTTTTGATAGATGGAACGATGCCTCGCGATTATTGAAGGATATGATGAGAAGAAAAATCATGCCCGATGTCGTTACTTTCTCCGGATTAATCGATAAATTCATTAAAGAGGGGATGTTTCTAGAGTCTAAAGAACTGTACGAACAGATGCTCCAGAGAGGTTTGGTTCCAAACACGGTCACTTATAATTCACTGATTGATGGGTTTTGTATGCAGAATCGTCTTGATGAAGCAAGACAAGTGTTTGATTCTATGGTTACCAAGGGATGTTTTCCAGATGTAGTGACGTTTGGTGCTCTCATAAATGGATACTGCAAGTCCGGTAGGGTCGATAAGGGTCTCGAGCTCTTGAGTGAGATGCCTCGGAAAGGGTTGGTTGCAAATAACATAATTTACAATTCTCTCATTCGAGGATCTTGCCAGGCAGGCAACATTGATGCCGCCCAAACGCTTTTCTTCGAGATGCAGCGTCGTGGTCCACATCCTGATCTAGGAACTCACAAGATTTTGCTTGATGGACTGTGTAAAAATGGAAAACTGGAAGAAGCATTGGAATTATATGGCAAGGATGGGATGAGCCTTGATATAGTTGTACACAATATTATCATTCATGGCATGTGTAAGGCGGAAAAGGTCGACGAGGCATTGCAGTTGTTTAATCTGCTTTCGGATAAAGGGGTGGAACCAGATGTGATAACATATAATACGATGATTTCGGGACTATGTTGGAGAGGTTTATTTGGTGAAGCCGAGAAGTTATTTAGTGAGATGAAAGAGAGTGGTTGTATGCCAGATGATCGTACATACAATGCATTGATCCAGGGTTATCTAAAACACGGATACACGTTAATGGGTATCAAACTTATAAAAGAAAAGAAGAGATGCAGGTTCTCTGCAGATGCGTCAACGACAAAGATTGTGGTAGATATGGTATGTGACGGTAGGTTGGACAAAGAGTTTTTGGATTCTCTTTGATAACGGGGCCTTGCTTCCTGTGATGGCAATCGTCTGAGTAGGAGGTGGGTTGTTTTTTCTGGCCTATAGATTTGGATTTGGATTTCAAATGCGTTGAGACCTTCAAGGAGTTCCAATCTGATCGTCATCTTTGATGCAGAAGTCAACTTAACAAAGTCTTCTTGCTGAGGAAAACATCACAATAAGGTTAGCATGAAACCTACTCTACTCTGGTCGCATCAATCATTCTACAGATCACTTCCTCATGTTTGTCTCATTATGAAGCTGAGTTAAAAGGTAATGTCTGTTCTGTTTTTCATCGTTTGGTCCAATATAAAGAAAACATTTGTAATGTAATTTCTGAAATAGATCTGTCCCTTATCATATGGTCTCCTGTTTAGTCATATGGGCTACTTCAAAATTGTTCCATCCTATTCCTATTCTTAGCTTTATTTTCTTATTTTATGTTATTACTGTGATAAAATTGTGCTTGTAATGCCCAAACATCATCACACATAAAGCTTGCTGTAGGAAGAATAAAAATTGCAAACATATAGGTGGTTGGATCTTTCTGGTATTTTTGTCAAATATAATGCCCAAATAAGTCTACTTAAAAGACCCAATGGATATAAATAAAAAAATTGTAACTCCATATTTTTTTTCCAATGGTAATTTATTATTTTCAGCCTTAAATTTGGAGAGATTGAAATACATTTCACATAAAAAAAAAGTTGTAACTAGTAACCAAGTCTCATAAAATTAGCTTTTTATTTTCCTAAATTACCTCAATAGTTATATATAAATAAACTTGTTGTTGTTAATGTCGTAGTCGTCGTCTCAAGAGCTTTTTCAATGACTACAAATATATAAATGATGAAAACAGGATTTTATTAAAAAGATCGTGAAGAAGGATCAGATGGTATGATTTTTAAAACACGAAAAAAGATGATTAAATATTTGAAAAAAAATCAACATATGTAATACAATATAATTTTTAAAATATATATTGTTCTTAGTCAATGTTTAATCATTTGGTTTACTTCAAAATTATTCCGTCCTATTCTTAACTTAATTGTCTGATTTCATCATATAATAAAATTGTTTCAGGCATGCATTTGATTTGAAATCAGCAGATATTTTAAATATACACAGTAAAAGTAAAATTTTCCTAATTTATCTCTCTATATATATATAACAAATAAAAACCCAATAGATAGATTTCTGTTTGGGCTATTTGTAAAGCCCATTACATAAATGGGCTTTAGACCCTAAAACTCAAAAAGAAACTTTCGAAGTCCATTTGCCCAACCAGAAACGTCAAACCGGAAATCCTACCGTCGAAGTCTCCGTTTCTCCGGTAACTATTTCCAGTGTCAAGAAATGGAAATCTGAAGGGAAGGAAAATAAATTAGGAATTTGCTTGGCGGGCAAGCGTGAAACGGATTAAAAAATCGTGGGTTACGATTGATTTGTCGAAAAATCCTAGTTGCAACCCTGCATTTTCAGGCGATACATTGGTCGAGAAGTTGAGAAAAACGGAGGATCCGAGTGGGGAATCACGATCTTTCAGTCAGATTCGATGGACCCATCTCCGTACGGATCAGGAGCACCGAAGGAGTTCGTCACGAAGCGGCTCAAGCTCGCCTGGCGAATTCTTTTGATCTCAAATCTCGGCCTTGGAGGTTAGTTTTCCGAAGAAAAATACAATTGCCTGCGAGCGATTAAGAAAAGTTGCAAGTTTTTCTTCCATCTCTGTTTCTGTATCAGAACGAAATAGAAATAGTCTCGGTGTTCCTTTTGGATAATGAATGATGGATCCTGTTGAATCACGTGGGAAAAATTCTGGGCGCTGTAGAGATTTTTCTTGGCGGGGCTTTGTTTTAAGCGCATAATGTGTTCGATACAATGCCAAGCTGAGAGATCCTTTGTTCTCCAAAAACCAAAGTTGCTGTTCCATGGCTACTTCTATGATTTTTACTAGTGGGGGATTTCTGGGCGCTGTAAAGATATTTCTTGGTACATACCTTTTCATTTTCCCAACTCCTTGGTACATTAGAATGTCAAAGGTAGCACATGGTAACAGGGTTTTCATCCTTGGAAATTTTCAGTTACCCTGTTGGCTTTCTTTATCCTATAAAAAAGAACCATGGATGCTGTTAATTTTCTTGCAACGGATGCTGTTTGAACATACTCTGTTACAAGAAATCATGTCGACTTCATTTTCTGTCAAAAAGTTCTTTCCTTTATTTTGGGTTTCCTGTTTCCCCATCTTCTGTTTAAGGGTTTGCTGATCCATCCTCTCTCCTTCTTCCACAGCTTATATGTTTGCAAAGGCGAGAAAGAAGGACTTGGCTACGGTTGAACACAAAGGAGTGAAAAACAGTACAGTTCTCGCTGAACCGGAAGAAACCAGATTAGTAGTCGATGAACTGTCAATGCCGAGTGAGTATACAGATGCAGCTGAAGCGCCGATCTATCCATTGCACGGAAACCATTTCCCGAAGATGAGCAGAGAGAGCTATTCAAGTGAATATCAGCAGAGAAAAGGAAGATGAAACCGAAAGACCAGGGAGAGAAGAAACGGGTCGATGAAGAAACGGTTCATTCGTGCTGAAAAGATCTCAAAAATTCATTCCAGACAATTCTTTTGATTCATCTCCTTGGGATCAGGATAAATTCTTCTCCCAATAGGAAATATAGAACACATTATTTGTGTTGTTAACTTCAGGATTGTCGGTTTTATATGGATGTTTTTTTACAGATTTGAACATGCGATGAGAAAAGCGTCACAATCCGTCGCAAAATGGCGACGACCCATTTGCGTCAACTAGCGACGGTAATACCAGTTTTTCGTTGCGAATTTGTGACGTACTAATGACAAACATTTTCCGTCGCAACTTGCAATAGAATTTGTTCTCTGTCGCGATACAACGTTTTTATGATTTGGATTCATTGCATATGAGATATGACATAGGTTTGAGTTTGCTGGTTGTCATCTACCGCGATCCATCTTACATTTTTAATTGCACGGATGTCTTTCACAATCGTGATGCATTAACGATTGTTTCTTGTAGTGTATACACCCATATATATATATATATGGAAAAATGCCTGAAAATTACTAAATTTGTAATTTGGTGTAATATTAATTTCTGAACTTGTAGGTACACCTATTTATTCTCGAACTTGCATTTTTGAACATGACGAAATTCACGAATCATTTAACGCTTCTAAATTCTCTATGTTAGAATTTCACATTGTGAAAGTAACTCAAGATGATTATGAACGATGATAAAGAAAATAAGAAAAGCAAATGACAAAGAGATCACGTGAGTTTTGGACTTATTTGCGGGTCTTTCAAACTTGAAATCGTGTGGATAATTGATTGAACTTGTGGTTGGACCAATCCAATACATTTTTCCAAATATTCTTGGCCCAAACGTTTATCATTTGGTACAACATATGGTTCTTTTGATCTTCGACCTTACCATTGACACATTTGGATCGTATGTAATTGAAAGTGTCCATATCAATCTGATGAGCTTGCGAGGTTCATATTAGTCTTTCTTTTTAGAGACTATCTATGATTTATAGACTCGGACTAGATTTGAGGGATATTGTCATATGAATGAATCTATAGGATCACACACAAAATGTTGGAACATTTAAATGTTTACAAACGGTGAATTCATACAATATTCGACAGAGATAAAAGAGCTCCAAAACTAATTTATTGGGATGATCAAATAGAGTTCTTCAAGTGGATCTTACCATAAAAAAGATCAAAAGATCGGTAAGAAAATAAATAGGAAGAATATTTTGAACAGTCCATCCGTGATGAGAAAATCTTAAAATTCGTTATAAATGATTTTTTTGATTTTTCTTTTTCGTGATTGGGATGAATTCATCTCTCAATAGGAAAGATATAACACATTATTTGTGTTTTTAACTTTAGGATTGTCAGTTTTATATGGATGTTCAAATGGCAAATGCCATTAATGTGATGTTCAATAAAGTTGTCCTTAATTAGATATTTAAAATATTCAGGGTCGATCATGTAAAAGTATTGCAAAATAGAGGACTTGAACAGAAATTTCGGGAAAGAAGGTGCTTTTCGTTTTCGGGTATAAATTGATTAAACCCTAATGTAACTGAAAAACCCTAGTTGAACTGAATCTTCACAGGCGCAACTCCGGCGAGAAAAATGGTCCGCAGCATAAAAAATCCTAAAAAGGCTAAGAGGAAGAACAAGGTTTGATGCCGAATTCTATTTCAGTTCCCAATTTGTCGTTCTTAAATCGACTCAATAACGTAATTTAGCTGTTAACCTTCGTTGATTAGCAGAATAAGGGAGATGGGTCATCGTCATCTTCTTCAATGCCATCGATGCCAACTAGGGTTTGGCAGCCAGGTGTTGATAAGCTCGAGGATGGAGAAGAGCTTCAGTGCGATCCTTCTGTTTATAATTGTCTTCATGGGTTTCATGTTGGTTGGCCCTGCTTGAGGTGATTTGTCTGTGGGTTTAATTCATTTTCCTGTTTGTGTATTCATGTAATGAGAGCAAAGCCGAGGGAGGTTGGATCATGAGTTTATACGGGTTCAAATTCGTTTCTCAAGAATGGGGAATATGAATGTAGTTTTGCCAGTATAGCAGAAAGTGAGAGACTTTGGGGTTTATTGATGATAATTTTATGGTTGGGCTCTTCAGTTGGCAGAGATTTTCATTTAGGAAACGAATTTCTCGTTTTGTGATTAACGTTTAACAATTTTGATGTGGGAGGCTTTTTGATTTGTGAGATTGATTTAAGTTTCTGCTCAAACGTCTGATAGATATTGCTTACTTTCTAAGATTGAGTACTATGATGCAGAGTAGTTCAGTTTTGCTTAATTGAATGGATTGTTAATCTTTTTGCAGCTTTGATATTTTACATGATAACTTGGGTTTGAACCGAACCGAGTTTCCTCACACAGTTTATATGGTAGCTGGAACTCAGGTAAATCCTGGTCTCTCTGTCTTTAAACTTCGTTATCATGTTTCAGTCTTTCAGAATTTCTTGTGTTTCTTCATTGAATTGTTAAAATCCTGTTTCATGCAATCTGAAATTATACCCAATGTCTGCAATTTTCTCCTCACTTTAGGCTGAGAAAGCAGCTTGGAACTCCATAGGGATATTTAAAATAAGCAACGTTTCTGGTAAAAGACGTGATGTGTTGCCCAAGAAACTAGCAAATGGTGAAGGCGATATGGAGGATGACGAAGACGAAGATGATGACAGTGACAGTGATGAGGATAGCGAAGATGAAGCTTCTAGTACTCCAATAATTCAGGCAATTCTTGATCTGTTTTTTCATATCTTAGTTCTTTTGTCTCCTCGAGTTGATAAAATCCTCAAGGTTGGTATTTTTCGCCTTATTTCCGTCAACAGCTTCGAAGGGTTGCTCATCATGGATGTGTTAACCGAATCCGGACAATGACACAAAATCCTCATATTTGTGTCTCGTGGGCAGATTCTGGTCATGTACAGGTCAGATTATCTATCCATACCATTCTTTCTAGACTTATTATCCTATGGTAAATTTTGAACTTTTGGCAAATGAAAACTTGGAAAGTTGAGAAAACAAAGATTTGTTTGAAATGTCAAATCTGGAAATCGTTCAAGAATTTGATGCATTCATCCCAAAAAGGGAATGCTGAATATGAGTGTGCAACCGTGCATGAGTCTCTGGGCAGGTGTGGGATTTGAGTTCTCATCTGAAAGCTTTAACCGAGTCAGAAACAGAAGGTAAAGACGGAAGTTCGTCTGTGTTTAACCAAGCACCTTTATTTAATTTCGGAGGCCACAAAGATGAAGGATATGCTATAGATTGGAGCCCTACAGTCACCGGAAGACTTGTTTCTGGTATTCTTTCACTTCAGAATTTTCTACCTGCTTTACCATTTATTTGCTTTGGACCATTGTTTATTGCAGAAAAGAAATGACCTTTTCCTCCTCTTCCACGTTGTATTTTTCTTTTCTAATTGTCAAGGGGATTGCAAGAGTATGATTCATTTATGGGAACCTGTTTCCGGGTCATGGAACGTTGATTCCAAACCTTTTGCTGGGCATTCTGCAAGCGTTGAAGATTTGCAAGTAAAATGATCTTCACTGTCACCTCGATTCAATGACTGTTCTTATGTGTTTTCACCCTTCAGCTAAACAATATGTTTATTTCAGTGGAGTCCATCAGAAGAGCATGTGTTTGCATCGTGTTCTGTTGATGGGCATATTGCAATTTGGGATGTGAAAAGGGGGAAATCTCCTGTAGTTTCTTTCAAGGCGCATAATGCAGACGTTAATGTTATCTCATGGAACAGGTTATTTTTTGTCCGTTTGATGTCGCTTCTTCATCATTCAATGTTTTCTTTTTGGCTCTTGTTTCTCTTGATTCATCATTAAACGTTTTCATCATTCAACGCTTCTTGTTTCTCTTGATTGAATCTTTTTTTGTTGTTGTTGAATTTTCTATTCAAAAGGCTGGCTAGTTGTATGTTGGCTTCCGGGAGTGATGACGGGACCTTTTCCATCCGTGATCTTAGATTTCTCAAGGTATGTTTTTCTCCGTATCTTCGAATCTCTCAATGAAGACCCGACAAAGGGTCATAAAAGAGAGGATTCAGTGTATATTTCCACGCTGTGATCTGTTCAAGATTCTGATAATATCTGAATCTTTTTCTAGGAAGGAGATGCAGTGGTTGCTCATTTCGAATACCATAAACATCCGATCACATCAATTGAGTGGAGCCCTCATGAAGCATCGACGCTTTCAGTTTCTTCAGGCGACAACCAGCTCACGTAAGTACCAAAGATTTTCCTGACAGAAAACAGAGAAAGAAACAATGGTAATCCTCAAAACCGAAAACATTGATATGGGTGTTTCTGCAGGATATGGGATCTGTCGCTGGAGAAGGATGAGGAAGAGGAGGCAGAGTACAAAGCCAAGACCCAAGAACAAGTAAACGCCCCACAAGACTTGCCTCCTCAGCTTCTATTTGTTCACCAGGTGACTGACCTGACTCAACCTGACATGACCTGACATGACCTGACATTCCCTGAGATCTGATCTGAGATTTGGTTTGTATGGTTCATATGGATCCGGGTTTTGTCTGAATCTTTGCAAATGTTTTTTTTTGTTGAAACAGGGCCAGAAGGATTTGAAGGAACTTCACTGGCACAACCAGATACCAGGAATGATAATCTCCACTGCGGCTGATGGTTTCAACATCTTGATGCCTTACAATATCCAAAACACCCTTCCTTCTGATGTCCCCATCTGAAAGGTTTTGTCTTTCTGAGAATTTTCAGATGTAAACGTTCAAAGACTGAAATACCATTTGTTTTTGTGTCGTGGATTACTGCTTTTAAAGAACTGTGTATCTGTTGTGGTTTCTCAGGTATCTAGACCTGCAAATTATTTCCCGTTGTCCGATGGTAATGTTGATTTATATACACATGTATACACATTACATACCCCATGCCCATTGTCTATGTTTCTTCTCTTTCTTCTTCCAGCTAAAGAAAGACCGAGATTCTGTCCGAAAGAGGGTAAAAATGCGAACTTTATTTGGTGATGACACGCGGAGAGATCCAATTTAGGGAATAGAGGAGAGATGAAAGGCCTGTTGTTGACAAATCGATCGTGCAGTTTTAGCTAATTTTGGACCGTCCGATTAAGATTTGATTACGTGGAAATCGGAGTGTAGTGGCTACAACGACTTCAATCCAAAGCAAATCGTCGAGTAGTCGTTTTCTCGTCTCGTTTCTTCCACTTTTCTTTCATCCAACCTCAAATCTCTTCAAATTATGACAAAAAGTTTCGAACTTTCGGAGATTCGAAACTAAACTAAACCCATTTCAGAGAAGCGTCCATTGGTCGGAGAAGGACGAGCTTGAGAACCAATCATGGTGTCTGATGATGCATCATCATTATCTTCAACAAAACCAAAGGCTGCTGCTCCATTAGAAGAAGAGCAAGAACAACCAAGTCAGTCGACGGCTCTTCTCCTTCCAGGTTCCTCTGAATCTTCCGCTGATCATCCGAACAGATTCTCCAATGGCGTAATCTTCGCCGCTCTGGTTCTCGTCTCATGCCTCGCCCTTTCAGCTGCTTCTGCCTTCGCTTTCCTCTTCTTTTCTTCTCAGAAAGCCGGATTTCCCCTGAACCATGTCTCGAAATCTCCAGATTTTGTCGGATCCGTTGCACGTCCCCTGAAGAAACTCGGGAAACCCGTGGTTCTGTTGATTTCCTCAGATGGGTTTCGATTCGGGTACCAATTCAAGACCGAAACCCCTAATATCCACCGATTGATCTCCAATGGGACCGAAGCCGAGACGGGTCTGATTCCAGTTTTCCCCACGTTAACATTCCCTAACCATTACTCCATTGTCACAGGACTTTACCCAGTTTACCATGGAATCGTGAACAACCGATTTGTGGATCCGATCACAGGGAAGACGTTCACGATGGCTAGCCACGAACCGGAGTGGTGGCTCGGCGAACCGTTGTGGGAGACAGTGGTGAATCAGGGCTTGAAGGCTGCAACCTACTTCTGGCCTGGTTCCGAGGTACACAAAGGTTCCTGGAACTGTCCTAAAGATTTCTGTCAGCATTACAATGGTTCTGTTCCATTTGATGATAGGGTTGATACTATCTTGAGCTACTTCGATCTGCCTGATAGCGAGATGCCGAGTTTCATGACATTGTACTTTGAGGATCCTGATCATCAGGGTCACCAGGTTGGTCCTGATGATCCTCAGATCACAGAAGCCGTTGCCAACATCGATAGATTGATCGGAAGGTTGATTGATGGGTTGGAAAAGAGAGAGATTTTCGAGGATGTAACCATGATTTTGGTTGGTGACCATGGAATGGTGGGAACTTGCGATAAAAAACTGATCTTTCTTGACGATTTAGCTCCTTGGATCAAGATTCCGAGTAGCTGGGTTCAATATTCTACTCCTTTGCTAGCAATTAAACCTCCTCCGGGCCACGATCTAGCCAATGTTGTAGCTAAGATAAACGAAGGGTTGAACTCGGGTAAGGTCGAGAATGGAAAGTACTTGAAGGTTTATCTGAAGGAGGATCTACCAAGCAGGCTGCAATACGCAGACAATTACCGAATCCCGCCCATCATAGGACTAGTGGACGAGGGCTTCAAGGTGGAGCAGAAGCGGAATCAAGGAAAGGAATGCGGAGGAGCTCACGGGTATGACAACGCATTCTTCTCGATGAGAACCATATTTGTTGGGCATGGACCTCGGTTTGTTGGCGGAAGAAAAGTTCCATCTTTTCTGAATGTCGAGATATACAATCTGGTGGCTTCGATTCTCGGGATTCAGGGGGCACCCAATAACGGGTCTGATGAGTTTCCAGCTCGAGTTCTCTTGCCAGTCGCCTAGCGAATTGCGGGTAGCTATTAGATCTGGCCATTATTGGCTCGGGTTCGGGGCATTTGCTTGTGTTAAATAAGTCTTTGTAGCCATTGATCAGAACAATTACGTTTTGTGAAATGTGATTCATGTTTTCAGGAAAGACAAAACCAGTTTGGAGGGGATTTCGAAACACGAGAACTTGTTCTTTAGCTTTTGATTATGGTAATGAGATTGTGGTTAAAGGATGATTCCTGTCTCGTATTTGTTATTGGTTGAAATTGAACGAGTCGGCTCGGCCCGGTCTAAAACTGGATCCTATAGAACCAACTTCAGACAGTTATATAAACTCGAAAAAATTCGGATCAACCCGAACCCGAAATCTTCTGATCGAGTGCGGGTTTGTGCTCGGACCACTCCATTTGACAGCTTCAAACATGCATCACATACGTATATATATGTGTATTGAAAATTCATTACATAAAAACCTATAAGCATCTTAGATTGCATTCATCACACAAGTTTGGCTCTAATTGTAGTCAACGGAATCAAAAATATTAAAACCCTAAAAATTCCGAACTTCTAATTTGGTGTAATATTAATTTCTAAACTTGTAGAACTTATAGAGATTTCTATTAATTTCCGAACTTGCAAAATTGAACACGTTAATTACTGAACTTGTTAAACAGTTCCATAATCGTCCTTAACGTTAATTGGTAAAAAAAGCGTTGATTGATCCGACGTGGCGCGTGACGTGTCGAGCCAACTCAAAAAATTGGCGTCACGTATGCAATTCCCGGTTCTTCGATAAATCGGGTTTAATCGACCACCTCCACCGGGAAGGGAAATTTTTATTTCGCCGATCAAGACAGTACCATCGAAGACTGGATTCAAGCTTTACGAGAGGAGGCACAACCGCAAGAACAACTTCATGATCAACATCCTCATGATCGGCGGCGGCGGCGGAGGAGGAGGATTTAACGGTAGTTCGGGATTTTCGCCGAAGAATTCCGGAGATTTTGTCGCCTAGTTGTCTGGATTTTCCGAAGCTGGGTTTAAACAGTCCCGTGATGCCGCTGAAGAATGAGGGAGACCCGTTCGACAAGATATTGTCATTGTCGAACGAATAGAGGGCGATTGCGGAAAATGGTTTTTATCTGCACCCATCTCCGATCTCTACGTCGCGAGATTCGGAGCCGCCGCAGCTGCTCCCGCTTTTTCTCGTCATTTCTCCGAAAGTCTCGCCGTAAGAATCTAACTAGGGGGTTTCGGGATTCGGTTCGGAATTTTAACGGTTCGGTTCGGGAACGGTTTATTCGGTATTATAAAATTTATACCAAATTAGTACCGTATATTATTCGGTTCAGTTCGGTTCGGTATTATGACGGTTCAGAACAGTACGGTACTAATAAATAAGTACCAAATAAAAACCGAAATAAAAATTGTTCGGAACGGTTCGAGACGGTTCATGATATATTTATAATTCATATAATATAAAAGTAAAGAGATCCAACATAATAATTTTATACAACAAAATAAAAGTTTTGAACTTGTAAACTTGGAAAAAATTCAACATTAATTTAAATGCATTACGCAAACAAACTCTTAATATTAGTAAATATCATAATTAATTATTAATATTAAATATTTTTCATAAAAAAAATAAAAATACCGAAATACCGTTCGATATTTCCCGAAACGAACTGAACTGTTTCCGAACCGTTCGGTATTTCAAATTTCGTACCGTTTGGTATTTTTATATAATACTGAATCGAACCGAAACCGAATTAATCGGTTCAGTACGGTTCGGGACCAGATTCCCGAACCGAATTGCCCACCCCTAGAATCTAACTGAGGGAAGAGAACCGGTAATTGCATACGTGATACCTGTAATAACCCTATTCCCGAATAAATTATTTAAATTAACTTCGGGAATAAAATAGGGTAAGACAACTCTAAAAATATAAGGTGATTGGCATAACAATCGAACCAAGGAATCAACGGGACTCGAACGCGTCGAAAACGTCGAACAAACAGAGGAAAAAGGGGTAGACCGACCGGTCTAGCGAAAGACGGAGAAAAAGACGAAAAAAACGGTACAGAACGGACGGACTAGGGGGTAGAACGGACGGACCAGAAGGTAGAACGGACGGACTGCCGTTCGCAAAGCGGAACGGACGGTCCAGTGGGTGGAACGGACGGACTGCCCGTTCGCAAAGCGGAACGGACGGTCCAGTGGGTGGAACGGACGGACTGCCCGTTCGCAAAGCGGAACGGACGGTCCAGTGGGTGGAACGGACGGACTGCCCGTTCGCAAAGCGGAACGGACGGTCCAGTGGGTGGAACGGACGGACTGCCCGTTCGCAAAGCGGAACGGACGGTCCAGTGGGTGGAACGGACGGACTGTCCGTTCGCGAAGCAGAACGGACGGTCCAACACCAGAACGGACGGTCTGGGGGTTTGGGAAAAAGTCGCCGAAAATTCTGACTTTCTTCCACCTTTCGGCCGCGATTATTGCGCGACAATCTGTCCCCACGCGCCACCAGCCGCCACTCCCGTGTAGTGCCAGACATAGACTGGCCCCTAGGCCGCGTTTTGATCGATTGGGTCTCTAAAGGGGCTGATAAATCGGCTCCAATCAGAGGAAGAAAACCATTTCGACTGAAAAAACGGATTTCTGAAAAAGAGAGAAAGGGAGAGAGACTGAAGAAGAACTGAGGCAAAGAGAGCTCGGGAAATCAAAGAGGGACACCCCAAGGAGGTTCCCAGGAAGTTTCGGAGGATAAGAAGATCTGTAGAACTCGTACAAGCTCGGACAAAAACGCATCTCACGGAAATCCGAAGTGAGTGGTTTGGATTGTGTTTGTGAGATTCTATTTTTCATGATTTATGGTGTAGACTAGTGATTCTGCAAGAGTTAAGCACTTAGGGATGTTAAGTATTGAGTGGGTAACAATTAGATCTTAAATCGGATCAGAATTTGGGCAAAAATGGCGAAATATCGGACTGAACTCATGAGGAAGACGAAGATCTGAGTCCCAGACCGTCCGGTCTACGGACGTAGACCGTCCGTTCTGGGACACAGCAGAACGAACA